CAACTTTTTCTTCAAATTTTCAGTTTATTTTTCTTCTACAACAATTCCTTATCCATTCCAAATTTCACCATTTTCAAAGGTCAGCTAAAATAACCCAAAATTGAAAATGGCAATGGCAATGACCTCAAATTGTGGAACTAGTCGATGGAGCATGGTATCTTTAAAGTAAGCTATGCCACCACTCACTTCCATAGTTTCTTCCATTAAATTACCATGTCCACCTCCTCCTCATCCTACCAAATGCCCTCAACTTGTTGGCTCTTTCATTGGGAATATCCCTTTTCATAGGTTTGAGATCCATATCTATGAATCCAAAGGTCTAAATGATCAACTTTGCAATCAGTTCTTAGAATCAATAGGTCTTTAAATCATTCATTTGAAAAACTTAAAACCTTTCTTATTGGATGATCATTCAAATAGCTGCCAGCTGACTCTTTATTGTGATAAACTAGAAACTGTAGAAAGGAGATTGCAACCTGAAAATAAAGGAAGAGATTGCATGTATTAAAATTTGAATCAAAGCTATTGAATGATTATATGGGCCAATTGAATTAAGTTAACCTCCAAGTTTGATAAGTTAAAAACTTGGTGTAAAGAATATGGTGAAATGTTTTGTTAATCACTTAATCCTTTTAAAACTAAACAGATTGGAAGGAAGACTGGTTTATCCATTTGTTTTTATTCCATTTCTTGATGTAGAACAAAGACAAGCTGAATAAAGTATTAAAATTATTTAGGATTTTATGAAATTACTTTGTTGTATTTCTATGGGATTTTTATGTTATTTCTAGTGTGTAGGGTGTTTTTTGGGTTATGCTCTGTTATTTTGCATATATTAAGGATTTGAGATTTTTTTCTTGGAATTACCTTTGTTATTATTCTAGTTTCTAGTAGTTTTGAGACTATGCATTTTTTAGCTCCTTGATAACTAATTTACTATGAATTACTAAAATTTAGGTTACCGAGACTTTAAAGTTATACCTTTTGATAATTGTGATTTTGACTATTGAGATTTGAGATTAGAGAATTCAATTATATTACTTCTTGACTATTTTATTTGAGATCACTTATTCTGCGTCATTTCTCCTCTCTAAGAACTTTGCCATATTTATTAGTAGGCATTAGGCAATAGCATCATGGACTAGTTTTTTTTTTTTTTGAAGTTACGTAAAATAGATACTTTTAAGATCTATAACTCTATTATGTTACTAATAACATAAATGCTGGTAGACCTCACCAATTTTGAGTATAATGTTGCCATAATTGATAATGGTTGTCGATTCTATCTATGCTATGAGGCATTGCAGACGAGTACCTAAACTTAGTAGGCCTCCTGACCAGTGACGTGCTCTCCTTTGAGGCCTCACCATTCTGCTCCTTAAACATGGTCGGATCAAAACCACTAGGAGTAGGGCAAGTGCCATAAGGAAGTATGTTGAAAAAATTATCACCTTAGCCAAAGATGGTTTCTTTCACAAAATAAGGCAAACCCTTCGCTTCATTTATGAGAAATGAGAAACAAATAGTACATACGTTATTTGTTAAGGTGTCAGACTGGTATTGTAATTCAAATGGTGGATATACAAAAATATTACAACCTTGCCTAGGCAAGGGGACAATGCACTAATGGCCTGTATCGAACTTGATTAGGTACCTTCTGGTGTCATGGAACATTGCTTAATTATATGAAAAATTGCCTATTTTGACATACATTAGTACAGCTAAACAAGATTTCTTTTAATTCTTCAAGCCTTTACCTTCAACTATGTATGTAGTTTGATGCTAAATGATGTTTTAGCTAAATTTCATACCTATTTAATATTTGTTGAATGAACGATATCATAAGAAAATCCACATAGATAAATACTAATGAATGATGGATTGCCTTTTTCTTTATAATTGACACACCTATACTAGTTTCTAGAATTTTCTTAGTACATTTCTTCGCTAAGTCAGTTCAAATAAATTTAATTACGTTTACCTTTTCATTTGTCTTTTAATGGTGCAATGTTAACACATTTCACATGGCAGGTGAACATTCAGTGAAAAGGACTAAATAATCCAAATTCACATGTATGCCCTAGAACTAGATGTACTACTTAAGATACTTGTTCCTAAATTTGTTCATTTTCCTATCACTCATCTATTCTACCATACAAATATGTTATCGATTATCTTCTATGAGAAGGGGGATTCTAAGTCATAAGTGAAAGTTCAAATTTGTTATCACATGACATATATACATTACATAATAGTTGATAGAGTTTGTTGGTACTAAGTTCAGATTGAGGAAAGAGGTCAGAGGTAGGAATTTAAGAGTTGACGAAAAAAAGCTCAAAAGTAAGAATGAGAGAGTCGAGAGAAAAATTGGCCCCTTTACCTAGAAGGAGTGGGGTATTTATACAAGTCAGCTTGAATTAAATAATAAAAACACCCTTTGTCCAATTGTGAGCCACTCTTTTAAGGTAAAAAATAATTATACCCTTATGAATAAAAAATGCTCTTAAAATTATGTCCCTTAACAAACAATCTGAATGTTCAAATGAAAGTTGAGACGAAGTCTCTAACCTATTTTAAGTTTAGTTGATTTGTTAAAATTTAAGGATACATTCGAGTTTGAACTTTAAGCGTCAATTTTGTTGTCCAACTTTTTAGGGACACAAGTGGTTTGAGGTATCGACATGATGAAATGTCATTTTATGATTTATCTGATGTGGATGACTATTGAGATCCCAATAATGGTTTGACTTTGCTTGCTATTTGGCTGAGGTTAATAGCTCACTGACTTGGGGCCTTTAGGTCTTTTAAGTTAGTTACCGAATAACCAACATAATACTTAATAGGTTTTATAATGAGATTCTAAATTCATTTGTGTTTAGGAGATTTATATCGAGATGAATCTATATCGAGATAATTTATATCGATATAATTCTGTACTATGGTAATTTATACCAAGGTGAATCTATGTCGAAGTAATTTTCATCGAGGTGAATTTGTACCAAAATGATTTTTCACCAACATATATGTTTTATTGTTTATTTATATATATTAAAGTATATGTTTTATTGTTTATTTATATATATTCACCTTTTTTTTTGTTGAAATTTTGGTACTAAATAGATCATACAAACAAGAAAATTAAAATAAAAATTATTTTTTATAATATATTTGTGAAAATAAGATGCCAATTTAAATATCTACATGTCATCTCATTTAAGCTTTTTTATACCTTTTGACTTTTTTCATTTTTTTAATTAACCAAAATTTTAAAAAATCAATAAATAAAGATGATAAAATAAAAAAATTTATCTGCAACAACACACAAGTACGCACCTAATTACTTTATTTTCATTATTTTTTAACACATTTAATCACTATTTATAAATATTAGAATTTGACAAGCGCTTTGCTATAGGATAGTTTTTATTTTTAAAAAATTATATTTTAAATATGAGAGAAATAAAATTTTTTTGTCAAATTTTAATCAATGACAATATATATAAACAAATATAAGTGTATTTATTTTTTTGAATATAAATTATAACTTAATTATATATAAATGTAATTTTTTATTAAATTAAGGTATTAAATAACATCTTTATTAATATAATACATATAAATAAATATAAATTAAATAAATAATAAAATATATTTTTTATAGAGCCTGAGAAGGGTCAAGGTAGAATGCCTCAAATTCGATATTCACTTGATCCAAATTGTTTAAAAAAGTAAAATTTAACCTAAACTATATTAAAAAAAATTGTATCAATTAGATGGGGTGACTCGAAATTCATCAAATATAGATTGATTTGTCATCTTTACTTTTATTGATTTTTTTTTATAAAATTTATCTAATAAATAAAATTTTAAAAAACAAAAAAATAACAAAATAGAGAACCAAATGGGATGGTATGTGAATTTTTTAAATTAAAATATTTAATAATATTTTAATGATATATAAATATAAAATTAAATAAATGATAATATTTTTATATATACCAAATTCGAAAGGTAACACTCAAAACTTCGTTGTGATCTGAGCTTGATTTAAAAAATTTAACCAAATTATCTCGAATTAAAAAGCACACAAATTGGATAAGGTCAAAACGAAACTTATAGATAAAATTATTTTATCCTATTGATTTTTTTGTTATAAAATTTATTTAATAAAAAATAAAAGTTAAAAAAACCCAAAAAAAAGGTAAAAACTTAAAAAATATATATGAAAAAAAAATTTAAGTTATCACATGGACACCCAAGATGAAATATGATATCTTAAATCTGTCTCTAATTATATTATTTTAAAATAAAAACTTGATCCGATTTGTATTTTTTTTAAATACACTTATTTGTATTGATGCGAATAAAATCAATCAAATAAGAATTATTTTATTATCCTTATTTTTATTGACTTTTTTTATAAAATTTATTTATTAAAAAAATAAAAAAAATAAAAACAGAATAAAAAAAAAACGACGTAAACACCTCACCGTCCTCCATTCTATACGAAATTAATATTATGAATAAGTTTCATAATATTTGGAAAAATCCGCGCATGTAAATGTTGACCAGAGATATATAGCAGAACAAGTGGAGACTCCAATTCGTTGTAGTATCCAATCACATGATGCCGCTGTGTAGCATGGTCTTTGGAGTCTTTGGGTTGTCCATTTATTGAATTTGATTGCTTTGTAATATCCTTTACCTTGTAATAAAGTTTTAACTCAACCACAAATAAATAAGCTTCAAATATCACCAATTACCCATGAATTATAATAAAATATTTATATTTTATAAAATTTTTTATATGACATTTAAATTATAAATTTATTAATTAATATAATATTTATGTCTTAGATCAACTTTAAAATAATAAATATTGCTGATAAAAATTTTTTAAATATAATATTATTTAATAAAATCATGATTAAAATACTATATTAAAAATTTTAAATTCAATATTAGCATTATACATTTCAAATATAAACCAATGACTATTATCAAATCCCCTCTATTCTCTCTTCTTGGAACTTGAGCAATCTGAATAGAGAAATCTACCGAGTCCTTTCACTCCATTTTCTCGTCTTCATTTTCTCTCGTAATTTGCAAACATGGGCTTAACTGTTTGCTAAAGCTCCAGTATCTGCTACATAATTGCACCAATTCCACTTTCGTCCAAGCAATTAACTCTCTGGGAAGTTGTTTTCTTCGTGAAAATGGAACCTTGGTTGCTCATCATTTCCACTCTTTGCATATTTGCTTTCCTCAGAGCCTTGTTGAACCTTCTCTTTCCCTATAAAAGGCTTGGACCCAAGCTCCCACCAGGGCCTCCGACCTTGCCCTTCATAGGCAGCTCCATATGGCTACGCAATTGGAAATCATTCTCCGAACTCGAACCAATACTGCGAGGTCTCCACGCAAAGCTTGGGAATATTGTAACTCTCCGTATCGGTTCCTACCCTGCAATATTTATTTCTGATCACTCCCTTGCTCACCAGGCCTTAGTCCAAAATGGTGCTGTTTTTGCTGATCGACCTTCTCCTGTTTCCACTGCCAAAATTGATAGCAGCAATCAACATACTATCAATTCGGCTAGTTATGGACCCACTTGGCGTATTCTTCGAAATAATCTCACCTCCGAAATTCTCAATCCTTCTCGGGTTAGATCTTACTCTCATGCTCGTAAGTGGACCTTGAATGTTCTCAAGGAACAGCTGATCAAGTCTAGAAGTAGTGGTGAACCTGTTACGGTAGTGGACCATTTTAGATATGCCATGTTTTGTTTGTTAGCCCTTATGTGCTTTGGTGATAAGCTTGATGAAAAACAGATCAAAAGAATTGAGGATGTTCAACTTGACATGCTGTTGAATTTTGGAGGTTTCAACATACTCAATGTCTGGCCTAGATATACCAAGGTTTTGTTTCATAAGTTTTGGAAAAAGTTCTTGCGAATTCGACAAAATCAAGAAGATATCTTGATCCCATTGATAAGGGCAAGAGAGAAGGCAAAGCAAGAGAACTTGAGCAAGGTAAAAGATGAGTTTGTTTTATCATATGTGGATACTTTGTTGGAGCTACAACTCCCTGAGGACAAAAGGAAACTAAATGAAGGGGAAATGGTGAGTTTGTGCTCAGAATTTCTTAATGCTGGCACAGATACTACATCTACAGTTTTGCAATGGATTATGGCAAATTTGGTGAAATATCCTCACATTCAGGAGAAGCTATTCATGGAGATTAAAGGGGTTGTTGGAGAAGGAGAGGAAGAGGTCAAAGAGGATGATTTGCAAAAGATGCCTTATTTGAAAGCAGTAGTTTTGGAAAGTCTAAGGCGTCACCCACCTGCACATTTTCTGTTGCCACATAAAGTTACAAGAGATGTTGTTTTTAATGATTTTTTATTTCCCAGGAGAGGTATGATAAATTTCATGGTAGCAGAGATGGGATTAGACCCTGAGGTTTGGGAAGATCCCATGGCTTTTAAACCTGAAAGGTTTCTCAATAGTGACGGTAGCGAGGAATTGTTTGACATAACAGGCAGCAAGGAAATCAAGATGATGCCATTTGGGGCAGGAAGGAGGATTTGTCCTGGCATTGGTTTGGCAATGCTTCATTTGGAGTTCTTTGTGGCAAATTTAGTTTGGTCTTGTGATTGGAAAGCTGTGGATGGAGATGATGTTGATTTGTCAGAGAAACAAGAATTTACAATGGTGATGAAGACTCCATTGCAGGCTCACTTATATTCCAGGCCTCGATAAAGCTATGGTTGATGATGTAGTACTTTCTTCTTCTTTCTTCTTTTCTTTTCCTGTCCTTCACTTTTTGTGCTAGATGAGTACCAGAACACTATTTAATCTAAATCTTTCAGATTTGTATAAATGGTTTCTTTATTATTCTACACTAATTTATAGTAAAGAATTCAACAAAAAGAAACACCATTCACTAACCAAATCCTCCTCCCTATTCACAAAAATCATCCAATGAAACCCTGACATCTAGTACTGTTACCAGAAGTGATCAAACCTATTTTAGTCACTCTTGAAATTTCTTTACATGACAGTAGCAGGCAGCTGCTAGTTTTGTTTTCTCGATTCAGGCTTTTTTTATCAGAGGGTTTTAGGGATGGGAAAACTAAATTTTTATGCATTTTTAAGTTTTTTTTTTTTCACTAAATAAAGAGATTTTCATAAACTTTGCTCTTATAAAAGTACTAATTTTTAAAAGTTTTTTTTTTATATTCGAAAGTTTTAAAATTTTGAATTTTGATAATTAAAATTAAAATATTAATACTTTACCAACATACACGTTATTATTGGCAAAATTGATCATTACTTAAGGTTCTTGAATAAGTTTTTTTCATAATTAAAATTATCAAGATTTAAATATTAATTATTAAAATTAAGAGTTAACACTTTATCAGTTACTATTGGCAAAATTGGAAACTTGGGTACTTATGATCTCTTCACTTTGCGGATCTATCTTCAATCCTCGAAGCCTCGTTTAACAATCTCTTCCCCTCCCAAAAACCTGGACTCAAGCTCCCTCCGGGACCCCTAATTTTCCAATCATTGGCAACATCTTATGGCTTCACAAATACAAATCCTTCTCGGATTTTTGGACCAATACTTCGAAGTCTCAACCCAAAGTTTGACCCCATGGTATGCTTCATTTGGAGTATTTATAGCAAATTTGGTTTGGTTTTCTAAGTGGAAGGCCAAGGATGGGGATGATGTTGATTTTTCAGAGAAAAAAGAATTTACATTTGTGATGAAAAAACCATTGCGAGCTTGCATTTGTTGCAGGCATAGGCAAGGCAGCGCTGGCTGATAATACAACAACTGTTAATGAAATGTCGATGTATTCATTTCGCTTTTGGAAATGCATCTTTACAGAAACTTGTTGATGATGGTTTTTTAGGAACTTTTGCATAATCTAGACAATCCTTTACTGAGAAGCTGCTAAAGCCCTCTCGAGTCTCTCCCTTCAGATTTTGCCCTTATCTGCATGTCATCCCTCGAGTTTCCAATTTTTGGTGCTCTTCTTCTTTTCCATTGAATCGGATCATAAGATTGCCATATGTTGCTTTGGCATATGTATATATTTTATTGCCTATATAAGTGAATAATTCATCATGATACCAACACAAATTAAAAAAAAATAAAAATCTCTTAAAATAATGTCCATGTTCAACTTTGAACCACACCTAATTAACTTGAATTGTCAGGTAATCCTACTTTAATGTAGCAAGGAATAAGTATTTGAGTCTCTCTGTTTTCTCGGATTCAAATATAAGTTTAGGCACAAATATGAGGCTTAACTTAGATGATTCATCCACTTTTCTTAACAGGTATCCATTCATGCGAGGATTCTATTTTCTTGGATGAATTCTTAACAGAAGTAGTAATGATATCGGTCATGCAACAAAAAAACAATGTGAACTTTGTGTAACTTTCCTGAACTCAAGTCATTAGGAGGAAACAAAATCTTTAATTAAGTTCCAAGTTTCTCCAGCTTGGCCAATGTAGCTCTTGGTCAGAACTCAAAAGGAAACATTCAATCCTGCACAAATTATTACTATTGCGGTTCATCCGTATCCCAGATTCAAGTTTCCTTAATGTTCTTCGCAGCTGCTTCCAGCAGGTAAGTACAAAATGAACAGGTAATAGCTATTTTTAAATAATTTATTATCTATCACTCTTTATGAATCAAATTAAATAATGAATTTAGAAATATTAAAAAAAAGTGAAACTCCTTTTCAATTTGCACTAATCAAGACTCAATCAACCAGTACATCTGTGATTTCTCAAGTTTCAGATGAAATTAATATAGAGTTAATCCTGTGTTCACACCATAGGATGCATTTTTCTAGGTCTCAATATAATAATCTCATTATGTCCAACTCTGAATTATCAGACAAAAAGAAAATTTTGATTGTCAATATACCGTATACTTAAGAGAGAAGGCAGCCTTTTTAAATATCCAACAAATTTACAATTTAAATTCCAACTATTATAATCTATTTTTTTATTTTATATTCTTGTAAAAAAAAGTGAAAACCGTTAAAAAGTCAGTCTGATTGTGACAGCAAGCGTCGTGCAATCATTCATTTCCTCAGTTGCCAACTAAAAAGTGTTGAGTGCTTAAGCATGGCATTGTCACGAGAAATAAAAGATAATAAAATAATCTGTAGGAGTGTTGGAGTTGATTTCTAATCCTTGCAGAACAAGAAAGGATCCTCGTGTCTGAAACCCAGATTTATAGTTTATTAAATTAATTGATTCTGATATAACAAAAAAAAGAAAAAACGAAAATGGCAGTCAATATAGACTCTTTCAGCTTTTAATCCTTTCATTTATCAATTACTGCTCCAAATATTTCAGGCCAGGAGCTATTTTGTTAGTAACTTCTGAGTTGCTAGAATGGAAACTTGTTCATCATCATATCCTCTGTCTTCATTGCTGCAATCTTTCGAGCTCTCTTTAATTTGCCTGTATCTTCAAGAAAACGCACCCGCCATAACCTTTCTCCGAGCCCCTCTATCTTTGAGTTCTTTGGATTCTACTTTTGGCAACACAAATCCTTCTCTGAACTTGAATCATTCCTCCGAAATCTCCATTCAAAGTTTGGTCCTATAGTACGAATTGGCTCTCGTCCTGCTATCTTTGTTTCTGACCGCTCCCTTATCCACCAGGCCTTGATCCAAAATGGTGCTGTTTTTGCTGATCGTCCTCCGGCTGTTACCACAAGGAGAATAGTTAGTTGCAATCAACATACTATCAATACTGCTCCTTATGGACCTATATGGCGCATTCTACGCAGAAACCTCACATCAGAAATGCTTAATCCTTCTCGTGCCAAATCTTACTCCCATGCCCGTAAATGGGTCTTGCAAGTACTCAAAGAGCAGCTCACCATAAAGGCTGGTGATGCTGTCTTTGTGGTGAACCATCTTAGATATGCCAAGTCTTGTTTATTAGTCGTTATGTGTTTTGGTGACAAGCTTGATGAAACTCAGATTAAAAAAATTGAGGATGCTCAGCGTTGCATGCTATTGAATTTAGAGAAATTCAATATACTAAACTTTTGGCCAAGAGTTACGAGGATCTTGTTTTATAAGAAGTGGTAAAAGTTCTTGCAAATTCGCCAAAATCAGGAAGATATATTGATTCGTTTGATAAGGGCCAGAAAGAAAGTAAAAGAGGATAAAGATATAAAATATGAAGGTGAACATGTTTTGTCATATGTTGATACACTGCTGGATCTGCAACTCCCTGAGGAAGAGAACAGGAAACTTGATGAAGGGGAAATTGTAAGTTTGTGCTCGGAATTTCTTAATGCTGGCACAGATACTACGTCCACAGCATTGCAATGGGTTATGGCGAATTTGGTGAAATATACTCCTATCCAAGACAAGCTATTCATGGAGATTAAAGGGGTTGTGGGAGATACAGAAGAGGTCAAAGAAGATGATTTGGAAAAGATGCCCTATTTGAAGGCAGTGATCTTGGAAGGGCTAAGAAGGCACCCTCCTACACACTTTGTGTTGCCTCATAGAGTAACAGAAGATACTGTTTTGAACAACTTTTTGGTGCCAAGGGAAGGTATTATATACTTTTTCATTGCTGAGATGGGTTGGGATCCCAAGGTTTGGGAAGATCCCATGGTTTTTAAACCTAAAGGTTTCTTGACAGTAATGGTGGGGAGGAAATGGTTGATATAACAAGCAGCAAGGAGATGAAGATGATACCATTTGGGGCAGGGAGGAGGATTTGTCCTGGTTATGGTTTGGCTATGCTACATTTGGAGTATTTTGTGGCAAATTTAGTTTGGTCTTTTGAGTGGAAGCCTTTGAATGGGGATGATATTGATTTGTCAGAGAAGGAAGACTTTACAATGGTAATGAAGAATCCCTTGCAGGCTCACATTCTTCCAAGGCTTGGGTGATTATAAAGGCTGTGGTTGACTAAACAGCTAACATGTTTGGAATGCCAATTCGTTAATTAAGATGTAATGAAACGATAGTTGTACACATCAATTCATTTTACCTGAATTAGAGTTATATATACCTGTGAAGTTACAATAGTCCCCAATTATTAAACAATTTTATCAATTTAAAGATTCTGATTTTCATTTTTTTTTTGTATCATTTGATCTTCTTTACTTTAAAAAATTAATAGTTCACAAAACCAACATAAATTAAGATTTTCACTTAAAATTTTTTAGGATATACTAATGTGAATATTGAATTTTGCTATGGTACTTTCATTTTTCATTGAATTTTGCCACTGTAATTTCATTTTTAATGAATTTTAGATTAGAACTAATTAAAATAAACTATTCGTGAAATAGTTTGTTAATATGTTTAAATTAATATTCGAACAAATCATAAAATATGATGGTGGTTATTTCACGTGTTTCAAAAATATACACGTGACATAACTACTTTTTTATAAAATTTTTTGCTAAAATAAATTTTTTTAAAATATTAAATTTATTTTTTAACAAATAAAAAAGTGAGGCCAAATGAAAATAAAAAGAGAAAAAGAAAGTAACTGAATTGGGTTGTAGCCTTTCTCCCAATTTGTCACAGTTGTGAACTTCAGGCCGACATCTAAATCTTTATTCTTAACTTTCATGAGTAATTTGATTGATGAATAAAACCAAGGGAGATGCAACCATCACCTAGAGGCTGTGAATGAAATATTAAAAGTTAGGAACTTTCTGTCAGGAATCCTAACACAGCCATAACTTGTTGAGCATAGGATATGATATGAATGTTGAACATGAATTGCAAGTAAAATAGAACTTGAAAGAAGACTTAAATAAAATATTGCAGGTCCCGACCGGAATGCGGTTTCCTGTCCGCTTTTAATGCTACTCGTTTATTATTATGACAAGTCCAGATCCAAACAACAAAAAAGAATCAATTGTTACGGGAGGAATCGGAAGAGCCGAAGGATCACCAAACATATCAAGGCTGACCTCTCATGAAGAAATCTCTACAACCATGTAGACCTGCTTTACTAGAATCATTCCTACAAGAACTGTATTTGAAATCATGCTTAGATGATTTTGGTGTCCAACCTCCATGACAAAAGTGAACCAAATTCAACCAAGAACCACCTTAACATTTTATCCCAAGCCAATTTAAGCACTGTAGGAAAACACATTATCATGCAATCAAAAGCATGATGGATCACAAACTTCAGATGAACCCATTTAGCAACATGGCCTAGGCCTTCCTTATTTCTCAATATTGCCTTATCAGCTGAGGTTCGTAGGAACTCTTTTAGCAGCCCTATGCATTCAACTTTGTCCAACTAAAGGAAGAATGGCACCTAATGGTAATTCCATGCATCCAGGTTAACAACTATTTTGAACCAAAACTTCCAACCTTGATCTTCCTAGGAGAGAACTCATGGTAACTGAAATTCTCAATAACTGTTCAAACCTCAGAGAAAGCATTTCCAGAAATAAGTTAGACTTGGTTTAAAATTCAATATCTCACTCATCAAATCAGTTTTGCAGTTCTCCATTTATTTCACACATCAATAAATTAGAATTATCAACAACACGTTTGCTTTCATAAACTATATAGCTACATAATTCATGCCTGGCTGTTGGCCTTAGTGATTTTAATTCTCTGAAGGGATCTGTGATCAAATATTTACTGCAGATTTCTTTTGCTGGTTGAACATGCTTCCACCAAAAATCAGAGAGCGCCAATTTGAGAACCTCCCAGTATTCTACATCTAGATATATCCGAAACAAACTGCTTCCTTTAGGTGTCCAAACATAGAAATCCATCCAATCCCGGTCCATGATTTCCATTAAACCCTGAGCTTGTGGAATACAATAAAGGGGTATTCGCTTCCAAGGGGAAGCCTTGCTCATATCTCCACAAAAAAATGGACACTTTATCTCCAATACTCCTCTAAGAGGTAACCCATAAACAAACCTGTCCACTAAACCATCAGGTGAAGCTGCTAACCAACTGTCTTCTGGGTTCATCTTACCATAAACCTGAAATTCAGGAAAAGCAACTGTATTTCCAGTAATCAATTTGTATCTTTCAAGTGCTTCCTCTTCTTTTATATTGCTCCAACAGGTAGCCAAGTTACCAGAAAATGGTTCAATTGCCCCAAGTTTCTCTAGCCAGAGCTGGGCCCTTCGACAAGGCCAAAAGCCTATAGCCCCAGCAAATGTGCTTGCGGTCAATTTATGCCTTCTCTTTTCTTGCCAATTTTTGAACCAGTGCTGAAGACTACTGGACCTAAGAATAGAATAAGTTTCAGCAGGTGCAAATTTCTGATAACAACTAGACTGACTTGAACTTCTTTGAGGATGATTCAGAAATTGACTACTGCTTATGAGCCCTTCACTAACTGGCTCAAGTAGATTCTGGCTAGAATACGTTCTCCTATACTTCAAATCACCGACAAGCAAACCAATGTTATGCTTATTCCTGCTCTTGTAACGTGATAGTTGAATGATTAAGGGAAAGCAATATGCAAGTTCTTCACTGCCCAAGAGAAATAAATAATGGTTGCATTAACTCATTATGAGCGAAGGCAGGAATCTATAATACAAATTGATTGAGGTAAGGTAAGCAATCATCACTAAAAAAATACAACATGTAAAAGCAATAAATTTTGTAAAAATCATGGCTCCATTTGCAGAACATGTGTTTATAACAAAAGCAAATAATCATTTTGATCAATTAAATTTTAGAAATTTAACCTTTTGAATTATAAAACACCTAAAGTTTACATTTGGAGGGAACAATTATCAATTATGTTTAAATGTGTGTTCCATTCAAGCCGTTTACTCATCTAATCAAAATATGGTCTTGCTTTTTACACTCTACTTTTTCTTTTAACAACTTTTCGGGAAGCAAAAATCAAGTAGGAAAAAACACGTAGCAAAAACAACAAACAACAAACAAACAAAGCTATAAAAATCAAAAGCTTCCAACACTTATATATTGTCACTGGACTGTCATATACCATCAGTGCTACTAACCAATAAAAACAAATCCATTCGCAATATAATTCAAAAAGACTCTTGTTACACAGAAGAGGCCACACCAGCATGACTCACATGGCAGCCCATCTAGCCATTTCATCACCCAGAAGCTATAAGAGGTAGGATAGATCAGGTAACACAAGTACTACCAATAGCTTCTCTCTACTTCCTCTCACTATCTATATATCTATCTCTCTCTCATATCCTCCCCTCTAAAGGCAAATACTAGCTTGAATTCCGGAGCAAGCCCCGGAGTCCCAACTCCTGTACCCCTGACCTTCTATTCTCCATGCACAACAGCTCAGCCTACAACCACCTGTCCGACAATTAAATCAACAACTCTGATTCTTCATAAAGAAAGAAAAGTCATCAAAAGCCTAAAATGTTTGAATTCCATACTAATTCCTAGAAAATAAAAGTGATTATTTGACTTCAGAGGAGACACTTAGAAACTATAAGGGACAACGTCGGCAAACAATCAAAACAAGCAAAGAAGGGTATTTGTGCTAAAAAAATCAAAAGCATAAAAACATGCATCTAATTTTTATAAGAAAGAAAATGTTAGAACTCTGAGACAAAAAATCAAACACTTACAAATGTTTAAGAAAAGACATTAAAAAAAGAAAAAAAATCCACGATAGAGAAAGTGCGAAGGACTAACCATGAAAGCCCGTGAGAAGGACGAAGCATAGAGACAGGGATTGGGGAAACGAAAGAGAAATCATTTCAAATTAAATTCATGTTTAAAAAACAAAAATTCCTTTGAGAAATGAAGCTATGAAGTTGCAGGGTTTAAGTTTAAGAAGAAAGGGCTTTAGGCTAAAAGTGTTTTAGACACGGAGGAAAAGAAACGTGTTTGGCGACACGAATAGACTGACTCGACTATGGACAGTACAGCAAGTATATATCGCAATGCTAGGGCCAGTCTCCCTTGCAGATGCTTTTCAATGCCCGAAATCTCATAGAGTCATTCTGATTTTTTAATTTAAAATTTATCACCGTTTTTACCGATAAATATTTTTGTTCCAATTTATAGGTACTCTGTAATTTTTACTGTTGACTTTATGAAAAGTCCATTTTTTTTTATTGAGCATTCTTTTTCTAGCTTTTCTTCTTATAATTTTTATTAATGACTGTAATATACAAGTTAAAAAAGTATTAAGAAAACGTTAATGAAAAGTTTAAAATAGAAAAAAAAAATTGTTATTGATAAAAAAGACTTAGCTATGAACTTCCCTTCTTACTTGAACAATGAAAAGGCCAAAGAAAATTTTGAAAAAATCATACTACTCAAGTAACTTTTGATTTAAAATTGTCGATTTTAGATAAAAATATTAAATGACGTGGCTTTACAAGGGCTCGTATGTCCAAAGCGATTCCTAGGAAAACTGCCGCTAACATTTCACAAGTCTCTCTTTCGTGTATGCGTGTGTGTGTGTGTGTCTCTCTCTCTATATATATAAAGAAAGTACAAAGCCCAAGCTAGCCTATCCAATGCGGAGCCTGATAAATAAAGAGTTAGCGTTGCGGATAGGGGTTGATGCAAATGGTTAAAGTTTAAAATTTGGATGTATAATATTTAGATTTGAGTTTTTATCATTGTTTTTGTTAGTACTGAAATGATGGCTCGAGGACCTATAAGGGCAAATGCACTTGGGCCTCAAGGAAGCAACCTTCCAATTGGTAATGACATGGGTGTAAACCCTAATGAGATATGAATGGATGGGGAACAACGACCAAAGGGATGAAAAGGAGCCCTCTGAAGATTTCTTGAATGATGAAGAGACTGAAAACGGGGATACAGGTGTGCAGAACGACTGGCGCGAAGGTGGAGAGTTTGATTTGAATGGTGGTTGAGTCATGAAAGGTGCTTAGAATGGCATTTTCATTTTAGGTTGCCTTGTGTTATCTGTATTTTATGTCTTGGCTAAGCAAGCAATCAAAATAGGTGCATCGTGCACGAGTTTCTTTGCTTTTGGGAGCTACTTGAGGCTTCTATTTATCCTGCTAAATGTTCTTTGCACATAGTTGGTAAATTCAACCAAACCAAAAGGAGAAATTCAAAGTAGCCATAGAAGCAGCTGGGCTTTGAGTTAATCACATATGATAGCATTTGATCCCATGCTGGATCTAGTGACATCAAATGGGCTGGTAATCTGGACGGACGGATCATACTAATTTTTTAGTTACCTGATTATTGTCCCTTTAAACATATTGACGTTCTAAAAAGCTGATTTTATATAAACATTTTCACCTTATCAAATGCAATGATGTGTAATTCCATCTTTTTTCTTGGTTTTTAATTTCTATATAAAAGAAGCCATCGCTAAGCAAGAGAAATGTCAATCACAAACCAAGATAATAGTGCCTACTGCTTTGCTTTTCCCTCCTCTCTCTCAGACATACAGGTGCACAAGCAAAGATCATATCTAAAACTAAACTTAAAGCCAAAGATAGTGGGAAAGAAAAGAGAAAAAAATGCATTTTTTTAACCTCGAATCAAAGAAAGAAACAGGGGAAAACAAGCCAGAATGCACAAAATCCTAAACAATACCTACAAAATATTGGGGAGCTGGGAATCCAATCTCTGCTGCAACTCCTTGATCTTCATGGAAAGCTCCATCTTCTGCTCCTTGTAGTTCTGCAACAAGTACTCCTTTCCTTCAATCACTTCTTTTAACTCTCCTACTTCTATCTTCAGCATCTCAATTCTCTCCCCATCTCCCCTTCCCTTCTAAGGGAAGTCCAAGTTGCTTTCTGCATCAACATACCCATTGGCATGGCCATTGCCTATGTCAGATGACCAAGCTGTTACCGTCGAAGTCTTCTCATTCATACCAGCATGTCCTATGCAATGATCTGCAATTGCCTTCCTTAGCCTTTGGATTTGTCTCGTGGAGTCAAACAAGTCTCTTTTTGCTGCATCCAGCTGTGCTTGTAAATGACTTGAGTGTGCCACCTGAGCATTCAGTGAATTCTGCAGCTCCATAATCTGGTCCTGCATCTCTAGAATCATATCATCCCTTCTCTTCAACTGTTGCCTTAGTTTCTGTATCACTTCCCGCTTGCTAAATATGTCAGAGCCTGATTCTGAGACACATGGTGAGTCAGAGCAGTTAGAATGATGGAATGGCTTTGGAGGCAACTCAAGGCGATCAGGAGATGATGCCCACATAAAACTATTCTCCTTGTTGAACTCAGAGGTGGGAACTGTCACCAGAGAGAGAGCAACTTCAGATGCAGGCAGCACCTGGCCATTTGGTGGGTGCTTCCCCCCTATGCTTTCAGCTCCTGTTCGGAATCCAAACTTAAATAAGAAACCAACAGGTACAGAGAAACATAAAAAATCATATGCGCACACACACTTTAACTTTCATTGTCAAAATCGACAAAGCATTAGAGAGAATATCAATTTATAACTAGCCAAAGTAAGAATGGCAAGAAATTGAGTGCTATGGAGAACTCCAAAAGGACCTTGTCCTATGAAGAGCAACATATTATAGAAAAGGGAAATATAAATGCCAAAACCAACATTTCAGAATTATGTTGATCTAACTAAATTTTTCTAAACTACAGTGTCTGCAACACATTAACACCCAATGCTCGAAGTGGGTATGATTAAAAATTTGGAACTGAAACTTCTAAGTATTAATACCAGAAGGCAAGGAATTTGAGGTTAGGATGGGATCCATAAAAGACTCTATCCTAGAGGAAAATCTAAAAATGAGACTTCGTTTCTTCTCATTTCAGTCAATATGTGACTATTTACACTGAAAAAAGAGGTTTTGGATGAGAAATCAAACTGGAGGATTCATAGCACTACTCTTTCATCGCTTTTACCATCCCAATCCAAAGATCCAAACTAAAAGCAAAGACAGGTGAAAACTAAAGCAATTACACACACACACACATATATATACGTATATATGTATATATATATATATATACATATATATATATACACACATTTATTTATTTATATAACCTTTGGACAGCTCAAATTATAAGATAGCCAAATCACACCTGAAATGCAGTTGAAACAATCATCATCTTCTTGGGTAAATGAATACATGTTTGAGTGTAAATGGCAACCCGATGATCTCCTCCTGTCAGAAGTTCCATTCCCTGTAACAGACTCTAAACTTATAAACAGTTATGTATTCAATACAAATTATTAGAGCAGTAGATACTAGTATACCTTTCAAGCTAATAGTAGCATTGTCCTGTTGTTTTGTCTCAAGAGCCTGCTTCAGTTTGTAACCAAGGCGGATAGATAAGGTACTCAGCAAGGCACAACCAGCAATAAGAATCCAATTTGGCCCCTCACCCTGAAAATTTTTTGACTTCTGACCCCTAGATACCTGGCCACCTCTTGTATTCATTTTAAGAACAAGTGAGGGGTCAGAGGGGAAAACTCTGAATCATCAAAATATGACCTACAGTGCACCCAAATGCCATAACTATCCAAGTAAAACAGAACTTAGGTGAAATTGCATCAAGAAAGCCATAAGTTCTACTAAGTCCACTATCTTCACAAGAAAAAAAGGGGTCTCATGAATTGAACGTGAAATTAAATACATTAATGTAAAATACTTATATTCCATGACTTTAAATTTGAGAGCAATTGGATGTTTAAATAACAAATCAATATCCACCTTCCACATATCTCACAGACTTTCTAAACATTATAAACTTTTTGATAGATTGCTGCATAGTGACAAGGCATCTCTAGCTCTTTAAAGATGAGCTTTTGTCACAGCGAATTGATTCAATATCATAAAACAAAAACCTTTTGAATAACATAGTCACAATATTCTCATCGTGCTTTACTTTATGTAACAAGCTGAATAACAAACAATGCAATGAAATCAATATTTTACGACCAAATGCAATGATAAATTGATAATTCAAAGGCCATGTTCTAATTCCAAAAACATTATAAAATCCCAAGCATGCATTTTTTACAACTCAGCTTACATTTCTCTCAACCCCGCAAGAATTGATTAAAAAAGTCCAAGTATTGCTAAAACCTAAACGTTTTCGATAAAATTCCTGAACAATTTAAACAAAAAAAATCCTCAACTAAATCTTTAACCTTCCATTTTCATTCCTCCCTTTCTCTTAGTTATTGCTTCAAGAGAAAATGGCTTCACAATCGAACAAATAAAGCTCACATTACATCATACAGAAAACTATAACTTAATCGAGTAATATTAATCACTAACAAAAGATATCGATAAAAAACTGAAGCAAAAGAAAAAAAAATCGATGAGTGGAAAAACAAACCTCATTCAAGAAAAATTAGGGTTCATTTCAACCAAGTTTCTCCTGAAAGTCTAACAGGGCGTCGTTTTCAATAAGTGATTCCCTCTGTCACTATTCACTCTCTGCCTCTTTCTCTCTCTAGAAATGACAAGAACAGAGGGTTGTTTAAATGCACGTTTTGGCTGGTACATGATTTTCCTCTTCTTTTTTTTTTTCAACTAGAAAATAAAAATAAAATTTTTAAATTGTAAAATATGGAAGTTTTCCACGTCATACGACGCGTGTCGTTTTGGCCTTTATTTTTCCGTCTGTTTCTGTTTAAATGTTAGTTTTGGGTAATGATTTATCATGAGTTATCAAATATATTAAAGATTAAATTTTTAAAAAATTAAAAATTTTTAATACTTTATCAAACATGCCCTTAATCTATAAATTTATAATACGTTATGATTTATTTAAATTTTTAGTACATTATATTTGAATTAAATTATATTTGAATGCAAAAGTAGAAAAAAAATTATATATCAAAAATTATTTTGAACTTGTAGAAAAAAATTGATAAAGATTAATGTTGATATTTGACCATTGTTTTGTCCATGAATTACTGTTATTTATCATGATATGTTAGAAAGATTAAATCAGCATTAATTATATCTTCAAAAAAAAAATTGAAAGCATTGATTAAATCGGTCAGGTTAGAGGCACCAACCATATATTTGATTGATCGGTTGAGGGAATTAGTTGAAAATTTTTATTTTATTGAATTTTAATCATTATATTTTGATTTTTTTTTTAATTTTAGACAAAAATAATAAAAATGAAATATTTTTCAACATATTTTTTGAATGAAAATTTGGCTCTCTCACTTTTAATTTTGTTGATTTTGGACAAAAATATTTTAAGAATTGAGATATTGCACGTGATACTTTATTAATATAATGGTAAATTTTTATCAATTTCATTATTTTATATTAAAAAATCAGAAAAATTTAAACTTGTATCATGTAATCTTTATCTCACTCTTAAATTTCGACATAAAAATTTTTAAATTAACTTGAATTTTAATTATTGTAAAAGACCTATTTATAAGTAAATTAAATTTAATTACGAGTTGTATAGAATAAAAAAATTATTTTATAAACTGATAATAGAATTTTAAATTCTATATCGATTGAATTAAATAATTGACAAAAATTTTATTAAAATATTTTTAATTATTTTATTAAAATTAATTATTAAATAGATGCTTTAAAATAATAATTACTTTAATTCATAAAAGATTTTTTAGCTTAATTTTTGAATTACAATGTATAAAGTTTAAAGCCTAAAGATAAAAAAATTATAAATATTAAAATTTAAATCTTAAATTTATTTAATAGTATTTTTTAAGAATGATTTAATAAATTAATTGAATTAAATCTTATGTTCAATAAATGTTTGATTTTGACTTACTAATAATCAAATCTAATTGAATAAAAATATTACATCAATTAATTAAATTTAATTTAAATATTTGATTTTGACTTACTAATAATTGAACTTAATTTTCAATTTTGAGGAAACGAAGCTCAATGAAGCTGGAGATAGGAACGAAAAAGTTTTAAGCTTATGCCTGTTGCACTCACAAGAGAAGGATTGCATGTTTTTTTTTTTTTTCTTGGGAAATTAAATTACTTGGGAGTTGGGACTCCCTGTTAAGATATTATCTTTTTCTTTGTTGTTTTTTTGCTGCCTTTTTTATAAAATCTACCCAAAACAATCTACACAAATCCTTATCCTACACTGACAAGCCTCCAATTTCAGTCTGCTGTTAACTCTATATACGTCTGCATACAACTTTCAGGTTTACCGATGTCTCATAATTCTAATTTGTCGAAGAACTTCATATTTTCATTAGGAAAATCTCTTCCTGTATTAATTAAACATATGGAAATAAGCAATTAATTTGAAAATAATTAATAAAAGATTTAGTTTCAATAGGATTTTTGGTCGAAAATTAAAGAATTCCTTTGGATATTGCATGGTAAAAGAACTCCCATCGTAGTGTATATGTTATTTTATTCATCTTTAGATTTAGTCATAAAACACAGCTATAAGTTGAAAATCCTTCCCCCACTTAAACTTAGAGGACCACTAGTCCCATAGCTCCAAAATAAACTGATTAAGACGACAATTTTTCTCGGGAGATTCTATTAAGGTACAGACCGCACGAGGTAGAAAAAAAAAAAGCCTGAATGAAGTTTTTATTATCGATGAAAATATTACAATATTTGAATCTCACTTTTTTGTAAACTTGTAATGTAAACAATTGGGGTGACAGAAACACCCCTACCATGACTTTCAAGTTGAATTATGACCGCTGTAAAATATTGGATGTTTCAGATAATGCACCATCCTCCTCCACCATCTACCAAGATTGAATGCAGCATAATCAATACACTCCAAGCATTTGGTTATCTTATATATATATATATATATATATATATATATATATGTATGTATATATATATATGAGATCGTAAGGATTTGAACTTTGATAACTGAAACTAAGAATCTAGTACTTTGTCAAACAGATAACATTTGGTTATCCTAGTGATTTACTCAGGTTTCCGGCAGGTAATGATGGCGAACTTGATCACACCCTTCTGGTACCCTTCTATCATCAATGGCATCACCAACGCACCTCTTATGGTTTTTAATCCTAGTCAACTCACAATAAGAGCAAAATCAAGAACAAGAAAAGTATCACTGTTGAGACTATACACCTGTTAGTGCTAGATTTAGTTACCACTACGTAGCAGCGATATGAAGGCCTTCCATGTTAATGCTGAGCGTATCACTGCTGGCCAAAATGGGGCAACATGCTGAGACCAATCAGCAGCCTTTATATCCTGCATTGCAGCTTGCGAATTGATTATATGTTACAAGTATTGCAAAAATTAACTTATTAACCCGGTGAAGCAAGACGAGACAACACAGATATGAACGTTCAAAAACATTCAGGTCAGTTTTAGACCTGATCAGGATTAGGGGTCTAGTCATAAAACGGCACCTACGTTGCAGTGGGAATCCTCCCACCATGCGTCCAAATCAAGCCTTAATCAGTCATTTGGCACGATTAACTAGTTTGTTTTCGTCATAATTAAGTCAACTATTATATCTCATCAAAAGGTTTTACAAGCATTTGAATTAAATGAAATATTGAATTTGAAAGAGGTTTTCATCCTATTCAAGAAAGTAATTACCTGGAGAGATAGGGACTGAAGTAATTTGACATAATCTGCAGTAGAACACCACTCTGGTAAATAGTAAGCATTACATATCCTGTTTAACAGCTTTTTCTCCCATGGCTGCAAAGACTCTTCATGGGGACCAAGATCCCTATGGCACCATGTAACTATTATTATTGTGCCTCCAGGAGCTGCAACTCGCACCAACTCATTTACAAACTGCCATTTTTTGGAGGCAGGGGGGAAATTAACATGAAATTCAAGCGTCGTTGTCAGAGTTCCATGCAACTCAACAAGTCAAAACATATTAATTGGGACAAAATAAACCTTAGCTTTATCAGGCATGTGTTCTCCACTTTCCATAGACCAAACTAGATCAAATTGCCCATCAGGGAATGGTTGCTTCAAAGCATCTGCAACTTGAAAAGAAACCTGCAGTATGTAGTAGCCATCATTCAATTAATAAAACTAAATATTTGCAAAGACCGCATAAACATGTTTTCGGCATGGAGAAAAACAATCACGTTATCAACTGAAAACGACAGGATAAGGGCTTGAAATGTAGCAAACTGTGAGAGTTATGCACATACCATGTCAGCTAGTCCTTCAGCTTTAGCAAGAACATTGGCCCTTCCAGCTTGAACAGGGCTCAAAGTAATGCCTTGGCATTTTGCCCCATATTTCCTTGCTAGGTATCTAGAGCTGCCTCCTATCCCACACCCAACATCAACCAATCTCTTGGGCCACTTTGCTGGGTCCTCTGAAAGCCAATTCAGAGGTAAAATCAATTGTTAGTTATCTTCATTCACAGTACCAGCCAACAAGGACCAAGGGCATCTATAGATCAAAACGTTTTCATATTTACTGTTATTGCTTTTGCTTGAGCCCGAAACTTAATTCAGTTAGATCAAATAGTGACTCTTAGGACATTGGCATTCGTCTGCGCAAAATTCAAATTCCATCTCTTTTCCTATCATAAGTTATGATTTCCTTTGTAAACAAAAAAAAAAAAAAATCCTATTCTCTATTTCCACAAATACCATACAAAAAATTAAGAATCTGTGTGTCAATGAAGGCATTTTAAACATATGCATCCATGTTGAACTCATACTAAACTTGAGCCCAAGACCAAATAGGATATGATTAAACTAAATTCGTCAAGAAGAAGAGAGTAAACAGAAATTAACTACTATCTCAATTGCCAATGTTGCTATGATCTAATTGTTATCAAAACAATAAAAATCTGAATTTACAGGAATGAAATGAAACAATCATGACAAGGTAAAGAAACATCGCCACAAAACTAATGAAATATATCAATTTACAGCAATCAATTAAGGCTATCTTTGGATGTTACTTTCACGTCTTACTTGATCTTTTTTACATTTTGCTTCTAAAAAAGTTACTAGAAAACATAGCAATTATACTTGATCAAAAAAAAAAAATTACCCCTAAAGATTACCGATTTTAGCATAATTATTTTGTATAAACATAAATTTTTTGTTCTCTAGAAGAATATTCACATTTTAATTTTTAATTCTTAACAATATATTTTTTATACAAAAAAATTGTACTCTAAAAATAAAAAATAAAAGGTGTTTAAATTTAAATCCTATTAGATGTCATCTTTTAAGAATGTTTATATGAATTAACTGAATTAAATATTAAATTTTTTACGATATTTTTCCAATCCAATTATTCAAACATGTTTTTGTATCATTTATTCTGAGAAGAAAAAAATAATAATACTAACAAATAACAACAATAATCATAAGCCGTAACTAAGTTAGGCATATGTTAGAAGCCTTTAAAAAAAAAAAATTCACGGGGAACCCACATAAAACATATTTGTAATAGAGACAATCAACTTTTTCTCCTTGGGTAAAATAAAAGGCGACAATCAATTAAAGTTGCACCAAAAGAAGGTGACAATCAATTAAACTTTCACCAAAAGAGCAACTTCCCGAATTGGAATGGAGACAGACGATTAATCTTTAATAGTAACATTGTGTTTAGTGTTAGGTTTAATTTCAATTTTAAATTTATTTTTAATGAAAAATTCCATTTAATTATATTTTAAAAAAGTAGTTAGATCAATGTTAGATTTGATAAATTTTAGATATGACATGAAAATATATGAAAAAAATACAAAAAATAACATTATTTAAAAATGATAAAAATCATATATAAATTTAACAAAATTTAAAAATATGTTTTATATTTGACATATAATTTTATATTTTACATGTATTTGATACAAAATAAAAATGAAAATAATATATAAATTGTTAGATTTATTCCATCTAAAGCTTATGAAAGCTAAGCGGTATTAAGGTAATGACAACCACACTTAAATCAAGATTCTAAAACTTAAAATATCTTTTAGCAAGAGATTTTGAACTTCTTCATATTAATTAGATAAATTCTTAAATTTTTACTACGCTCAAATAAATTTTTAATTTTTAACTTGCATTCAAATGAATTTATTTGAATGGAAATCAAAACTTAAAGCGTATTTTGAGGGATTTATGTAAAAAATTGAAATAAGTCAAATATATTTTCTCTATTATCATCAAAATAAATAAGACAAACATAGCATAAAGAAAGTTTTATACAAAAGCACTAAGGTTCAATCAATTAAAGTTTAAACGAATTTTTCCAGAAATCATGAATTAACATGACCTACTTACACAGTAATTATTCTAATTAATTTTTATTTATTTCAAAAATTAATTAATTAATCATAAATTAATAGCAGTTTTTTTGGTCAAGACTTAAAGGAAAATTGAAAAAAGAAATTAAATTTGTAGAGGATGAAATTTGAATTTGAATTTTCTTAAAGAATAAAAAAATTATAGATATTATTATTTAATTAAATATTACTTTCTTAAATATAATTTAATAATCAATTGAATTAAATCGTAGACCAACTTCGGTAAAATCCACCTTTAAAAAAATTAAAAAAAAAAAAAAACCAAATTTAAATAGCCGCCTTTTAGTCAAGCGAGCTGGAGAATTAAGATCCTCTTCTTTAAGTCCTGATGTTGACAACGATATTTGTGACCACATAACTTAAATTCCACATAAAACCAACTGTGCAAAACGCGACACGTGAATAAAAGTTAAAAAAAAAGAACCCGATATTCCAGCGAAGCGGAGCGATTCTTCGATCATTCGGATCTGAGCGGATAGATGATCTGAACCAGAAACATTCGAATCCGGGTCGTAAAAGCCATGGTGCATATGGTCACCCCAAACGTCCTCCCAAAGACCAGACGACTCGTCGTAAAACTCCGCTATTCCATCCTGCAACGCACGTACGTCGGAGGTGGTCGAGGCAGACGCATTGGCGGGTGTCGACATGAAGCGTGGGTGGGATTGGCACGTGCGGGTGTAAGAGGAAGGGAAGGAAACAGAAAGGCGTGGAGTTGGTGAAGGAGAGAATAGGCCCGTGCGAAGGAAGTAGGGGAGTGGGGAGTAGGAAGTTTGGAACGCGGAAGTCATTTATTTATAGTTCTTGTTAGTTCAGTTACGGTGGTGGCAATCGGATGATTCTGGGAGTGTGTGAAGGATAAAAAAGAGAAGAATGGTGGGGAATGAGGGACGTCGGAATTCAGGAAACAGTCGACGGAGTGAACGAACGGAATGGAATAATGTGGAAAGACTGTGTGGACTATTGAAGAGTGACGCTCGAGGAATGTGAGGGTTTGCTATTTCATGGGTACTTTGACATTTGTGCCCTTGGTTTACCCACAAACTTACAAATTTGTGCCCTTGGTTTACCCACAAACTTGCAAATTAACTGAGTGGAGGAAAACAAACTTAAATACGTCAAAAAATTTTATATTAGTATAAACTTAGAATATTAAAATTAATTATTCGTGTATTTATATCAAATAAAATATTATTAATTTATATATTTATAATATATTTTATATAAAAATTATTAATCATAATTATATCAATATAAAACATACCAATTAAAACTGTTTTTAATTTTTATTAATTTCATATATAAATTTTATTAAAATTTTAATCTATATTCGTTGTTTTTATCATTTTTTTATCATGATATTACATGTGCTGTATTTTAAATTACCATTTACCGATTCTATCAAACATCTTCATATCACAAGATATAATGATATCATTATATAATTTCATATATTTTTAAGGATATTTTCTTTTAATCCTATTAACGTGTGCATATTGCATTTTAAGAAGTGTTACTGTTAATAAAAATATTTTATTTAATGTATTATTTTTATTAAATGAAAAAAACAACGCATTGCTTTTTTTTTTTTTATGTATCATCTTAATCTCATGTATCAATTATACTATGTTAACACCTTTTTTTTTTGGCTTATTTGAATTATATCTGTTTTTTTTTTTTTTAAGTCACAATCATCATATCATATATCATATATATTTTTTAAATATTTTATAATAAATGCTAAATCTTTTTACATAAATTTAAAATCTATATCTCCTAATTTTATTACATTAAACAAACTAAGCTTTTGTTTACATAATTTTTATGGATTTCTAATTTTGGTTGTCTAACTTTTTTATGAATTTTTTATTTTTAATTTTCTTCTATTAATATTTTAAAAACTATTATTTGTTAAAATTTATTGAAATTTTTAGTTTTATAATACTAATGTTTTTTACTATTGATTTTCTTGTACCTTATAATTTTTTATTTTATTTTTATTAGGAGTATTTCATGTTTGATTTTTAATAGATTTTTTACTTTTAATTTTTTTCTATTTATGTATTTTAAAATCATTATTTATTAAATTTTATTGAAATTTTAAATGTCAATCAATATATCCCTAAACCAAAAAAAAAAAAAAAAATTCTCCTTTCAATCTTTAAAAAAAAAAAGAGATAGGAGGAATTTTAAGCTGTAAAAAGTTGCACTTTTTTTTTTTTTGCTTTAGGTGCTGCGTCTTATTATTATTATTATTGGCATAAAGAGCAAATTATTTATTTATTTATTTGGGTGATTCAAACTTATTATTAATTTTTTAATTGATGTACTTTTATAATTATATTTCAAATTTTTTAATAAATTTATTATTTACTTCAAATTTTAAATTAATTAAAGAACATATTGATCTAACACATCTGTCGTATGGCTCTGAAAGTTTTACAGAAAATGAAAGAGAATGTTTTTTTTTTTTTTAATGAGCATATAAAAGTCAAAGCCTATAATAATAATAAAAAAAAATTCGTCTCCTCTCAATTTGATTGTGTCGAAGAATTTAGCCATCCCAAATGAGTTTCCAACTATATAATCATTAAGATCAAGAATTATTGTTGAAGAAAAAAAGTAAAATTTTTTTATTTAAAATTTTTTAAAATATGTATTCTTCATTTTTGATAAATTGAAATTATGATCTTATTTAAAATTTTTTATTTTAAATTTATGTGTACACATTATTGAAGAAAAACATCTTTTTTGTAAAGTTGGATTAAAATGTTGAATGTGGCATATTCACATTATAATTTTATTGATTTGTTCACTTTGAAAAATAAAATTAGCTTCTGGGAGATAAATTCATTTTATATTTTCAAGAACTTGTTTAAAAAAAAAAAGATGGCATTTGATTTTAGGAAAAAAAATTATAGTAAAAGGGTTTTAATGATGATTGGTGCTTATTGCAATGATTAAGTATGACTGGTACTTATTGTAATAATCCCTATTTAGGATTTTTTTTTTCCATTAGAATAAAATAAAATTTATATTCTCTAATATCTGTAATAAGATATTTTATTTTTATATCTCAAAATGATGTTTTTTATGCCAAATAAGCATCTTATCTTTTTCTTTCTTTATATTTTGCTTTATTCTTTATGCTTTTCGGTTTCAACTATTTGTTTTCACTCAGCTTTCATGATTTCCATTTTGCTCAAAGCTTCATCTTTCATGAAAATCATTCATTTTTCGTGATGTGTTTCGGGGAATAATCATGATGAACACAGGTGACATGACTGCGTATTTATCATCTGGCAACTCTGTTAACTCCTTGATATCAGCTAAAGTAAAGGAAATCAATCATTGCCCAACCATGGTAATTTCCCAAGTAAGGTGTTAGAACTATTTGATTTTTTTAAAATATAATATTAATTTTAATATATTATTTTAAATTTTTTAATTTAGTGTAAATATATTTATAAATATATATAAATTTATACATAATAATATTTTTAATAATTTATAAAATAAAATATGTAATAATTTTAAAAATTGAATAAATAAATTTAAAATTATAAAAAATAATATCATTAATTTATTATGATATTTTTAAACATTTAGTATGATCGTATAATATTTTAAAAAATAATTTTTTTCATGTAAATTTTAAAATAAAAATAAAAAAATTAATCTTAGCTTCATTATTATTAAATTTTAAAGAGAGAATATAAATTTTTAAAAAAAATTGAAATATTTATAAATTTTAATTTTAAAAAGTAAAATATAAAAAATTAAATTATAATAAAAAATTAAATAAATTCAACTTTCAACTCGATATCAAATTCAATACAAAAAATTACCTTTAAATATATCATTTTTATCCGTACGAAAGTAAAATTAACAACATTGGTTACGATCCTCACCAACTCATCCCCTTCAGCGAATGAAGGCCTCATACGCTAGATCTTGACGTGGATTATAACCAACGAAGATTTTGAAGGGTTTGCTTCCATCGCTATTGTTAGTAACTTGGTGAGCATTGGCATTAACCAAAGTTATTGTTAGTAGCAGTTTTCTTCCACAACGTAGATCTGCACTTTTTTAAATTTATTTCATTTCAGTTAATATATACAGTAATTTCCATAAACTTTCATACTCAACAATTTGAAGAAAATTGGGGAAATTTTCTATTTCTTGACAGAAAATGGTTTTTTTAGGGCCAATCAGTTAAGAATCTGACACTGAAAATTCTAGTTTTTGTTTAACTTGATTTCTCTTGCCGATTCTCGGGAACCAAACAAAACCAAGCAAGGGAATTTAAGAAGTGGTTCCTTTGGAGGAGGTTTGTTTTTTCTTTTTTTTTTTTTGTGAGGGATAATTTAAATTTTTTATTTTTTAATAGAGATAATTTTTAACTTATTTCTGTTAAAGAGATAGTCTAAGACAAATTATTGTCATGTCACATTTTTTTACTCCTTAATTTTTTAATATATTTATTTTTCTCAAGCATACACTTTTGAGGTCTCATTAAATTTCTTTTAGCTTTTTTTTTTTTCAATTCTTTAACCTCAAACTCCTCTTTATTTTTTCAATAATGGATTGTCTTATCTTGTTATGATTAATTTAAAAATACCATACGAATTTATTTGAGATTAATTAGTATTATTTTATGGATAAGACTTGCAGTAAAAGAAATCTTAAGAAGAAAAAAAAATTTGATAGGCAAATTAGTTACAAATTAGTAGAATTTTCATATGATTAGATATAAGAAAAAGATAAAAAAAAAAAGTTGTAAGTTTTTATGGGATATACACCTTTTAGGACTAGAAAAAATTTAGAATATGATTATGAATGTGTATGTTTGAGTAGACTAGTAGAGAATGAAAGGGTCTATATAGGTATGGTGTATGGGTATATATGAGTATATATTTGTTTGGATTGTAAATATTTTATAAGATTAGAGGAAAATGCGATGCCCTATGGATATTAATTATGAGTGTTTGATTTAATGTGTATTTGTAATTTTTTATAACTAGTAGATTTTTTTTCCTCATTCATAGATATAAGTCAGTTAAGTTGAATCACATTAAATCGTTATCTTTTATGTAGTTAATTGATTGTTTAATTATACTTTTGCTGGCTTGGATGGTTAATTCATTAGGCTTTTTTTGTCTAACAACATCTAAGCAAAATTAAATAATCAATTAATCACACAAGATATAATAATTTAACATAGTTCAACCTAACCAGCTTACGTCTATGAATGAGAAAAAAATTCACTAATTGTAAAGAATTACAAATACATCAACAAATCAATTTCATTCATAATCAATACTCATAAACCTTCTAATTTTCCTTTAGTATCTATATGCACCCATGCATCATACCTATGTGGGGTGTTTACCCAATAAAACCTTAAAGTCTCTTATATTTTTTTCTCATACCTAACCCATAGAGACTTCACATATTTAGAAGTATACTAATTTCTCTATCAAGAATCTGTTTCCTCTTAAAATTTTTTTTTTTGCAAGTCTTTTTATCCATTAAGCAATATTTAACTAATCTCAAATAAATTTCTTATTGGATTTGGTCACTATTCCCAACAATCTTCACTTTCACTCAAATTCCATTAATTATCAATTTTCATGCTAGACATGTTTGACTTTACTTGTAATGTAAATCTTGTAATCATTTTCTTTTATGTCTTCATATTTCATACAAATTGATCTATCAAAATATGAACTTGAACTCTTCCCTTAACTTGAGCTCTTCTAGGTTTTTTTTTTTTCCATGTCTTGAAGCTTCATTTTGATACCAGCTGATCCACAAGTTTCAAACCTAGTTTTGATACTAGTTGTTAGGATCATGATAGCTTTAAAATCACTTGTCAAAAAATAAACAATCACACACTGCACCCACATACAGACATAATAAAGCAAGTTTAAAACAAAAATAAGAATATACAAATATATTTGTTTCGACCCAACCCTAAGTGACT